GCGTCAACACGAGACATACCTACCATAATTACCAACATACTAGTATTTTTTACGTAGCCGTTGTATGTTTATGGTGACTACCGCGCCTAAGTAGAGGGCTGTGTGCCAAAACACATTTAGTAATAGGCTACGGATGCTTGTTAGCGAATATGTGTACGATATGGCAAGTTCTTGTCGACATCACACGAACGCCTAGTGATTAATTATTGGACTGTCGGTTATTTTAACTGCTCTTGTATGCACAATGTGCCATATCTGAAAGGGTAAGCATATCGTTCTCCCTGTCTACGATATACTCCTTTGCCATCATCAGCACCATATAGACACGTACGGGACTCCTCAGAGAAGACTACTTGCTCCCATTGTGCTAATGTACATTCACGGTGTTTACGAGCAAAATTTAACCTTGCTACCTTATGAGCTCTGGTAAGTTTAGGACCTGTGGCGGGTCTGTATGTTTTAAACTACGTTCTTAAAGGCTTCTTATTCTTAAAGACTTATTGTCCTATCACTTACATCAACACCTCGGGCATCAGGTGCTGCAATTATACTCCAAAACGATGACAATTTCTGAGGCTCGCTGACTATAAATCTATCATTCCGTTCAGATGTATTTCTTCGGCTTGATCCAAATTTTCTGATGTGACTACCGGTCTCCAGATACCTTTTGTAGACAGACATATTGAACCATTACGCTTGCTCATTCCCGTTTGTAACAACGTCACGATTCGAACAACTTCTGCTTCTGATCCTTATTTATCAGTAAAAAGGAAGTGGGACACACATAACTTTACTTTAGTAATACGAATTTAACGATAGTTTTAAATAGCGTCCTAGCGACAGGACATTAAACGTAAAAGAATAAAAGTGTGGGTCTCCAAAAAACTGATTAAATGTCATTTAACTCATTTACCCTTGATTATTTTTATCAATATAGGGTATATTGATAAAATTATCAAGGCTACTAAGATTGCAAATGAATTCAAAACGTGTTATTTATTTTAATTTTTAACCGTACCGTAATTAATGAATAAATCATAAAATTAGAAGTGGCCTAATTTTTTTGTCCACCAGTGTGGTTACTGCTCCTACAACTTATTCGTAAGTCCCACTAAACACGATCACACTTTCGTTTAACAGTTTTTATTTGATAAGTTGTTATAACTTTCTAAGTTTTGCGACAGAGTTAATTGAATTTGTTTGGTGTTATTTATGTTTTGTATTAACTTTGTCGACTTTAGTGCGGCTTCCATTGCTCTAGTTTTCGGGTTTATCTAGATTGCCGCCTTGCGCATAGCGTACAGATTCCTTCTCTAGATTTTCTGACCATTTGATTATACTTATTGTATCTAACCTCGATTTCCACATTTTTATGTAGATAACAAGGCGTCAAGCCCTGTGACGTTATAATAAAGAAAAGATGAAAAGAAAAGTTGAAGGTAGTGTATAATCTGTTAATAGTAAATAAATAATTCCTTAATATTTAAATGTATATCTTATGTCTTTTCAGTTAGAAGTAACGTTGGGTAGTTGGATTTGTATAAGTTTATTAAGTACACATGGAGGATTACCACACATGTTTATCATCTTACATCTTTTTCAACTTATTGATTCAGCTGAGTTCTCGAAATTTCTTTAATGCTCCTGTATGAATCTTATGTATATTTTTGGCTTTTACAAAATGAAAATGTTGTTTACGTTTATTTTCGTAACACAAAAAAACTTCCAAGTAGACTGAATCAGTACATACTATTTCTGAATGTCCAGCGTCACCAGGAGTCCCAAGCTTTCGAATTACTTGAGCGACTGTCTTATATATATTTTTAAGTGTTTTTGAGTAAATTAAGGCCGAAAATTATTGCTACTTTTAAATCATAATCATATAATGAAATGATTCCTCTTAGACACAGCGATTTCACATGTATTTGTGATTTGGTCATAGACAAAAGATAAGTGCCATCAAAATCAATCAAAATTTGATTGATAAAATAAAAAACCCTTTTTTTAGATTTTAGACCTTTCGCGGGTTTGGCGCTAGCGTAATATAGTGTAGGAAGTCACTTCTACTACGTGTAGAAACTACTTGTTAAATTAATGTTTTCTTAAAATATATAGTTATCTTTCAGTAAAGAGCTGGACGGTCATATACAGCTTTAATATTTAAAATAATTTCCATTAAAAGTGGTTATCATTGTTCCAGTTTATTGAATGCAGCCATTTATTATCAGCTTTTTCTACGATAGCTTTATTTCATTACGTACACCATCGCTAATTGGCATCTCGAAATATTAAACCAACTAACAATCTTAATTTATTTCTTATTTTTTACTGAATAAGATGGGGCAATTCTTCCTACGAAAATTACATCTTTAGCAGTGTCTTCGGAAGACCGTGATTAAACAATGTAGGTGCTGATGCTGGAGTGGCATACATTTACGTTGTAAAACTACAATAAAAGTACTGACAACAAGGTTAAAGACAGCGGCTACAGTATCAGATTCAGATCAGGCTGGATATAATTACTCGCAAACCAGATGTATACAAGAATGTGGTCTAAAACTTGTAGTGCAGTGTTTGGGTGAAAGGTGTGCAGGCTGAGGTCGGTCGCGGGCTGGACTCGAAGGTGACACGTGATACACTCATACGATGTAAATTAGCGCACTCTCTTAGGGTGTCCCTGGTCATGCATTAATTAAAACAATACTGATGGATATTTTGTTTTACACTTTGAATTTACACTTGGGCTCTGGAAGTTACTCTGATCCCGAACTATGCAAAACTTCGACTATGGTAATCGGTAATATATTTATAAAAATACATCGATTTCATAAGTAAACCAGCGATCAACCCCGACTTCGCACAGGTGCAATGTAGATACTACTACTACTGATGTGGTGTCAGTGTGGAGTAATTAATTATACTATTATTATGATTAGACTATACCACAGGATATCTTTATATGCAATATTTATAGGGTCCACCTGTTGGCCGCTGCCACCCGTGACAGACGCGGCGACGGCCGCGTTGTTCCCGTATTTTAAACCTCTGATATCTGTTAAGATATATACTTTAATTATATGCTGTAAAAGGCGCACTTTGATCTACCTTAAATGCAAAACGTATCTAACGTATTAATTTGGATAAAGAATAATACTGTATTTTTTACCGACTTCAAAAACACAAAAGAGGAGGTTATCAATTCGTCTGTATTTTTTTTTCAAAATGGTTTCGTAAATGACTCATTATTTTTTGTAATATGTAAAAGGATAGAAATGGTTACTGTGAATTGTCCTTAGGAGATAGGCATAGGTATACCATCGCGGACTTTTTTGTAAGTCTTTTAAAGATATACAATTCCGTAGTACATTATTTTGATCTATCTTTAAGGTTCAGTCAGCAATGTAAGCGCACAAAAACATGTTTTTGCAACGAATCTTTGAATTTTCCAGCTTTATCTGCTGTATTATGCATGTATTATACATATAAACCTTCCTCTTGAATCGCTCCCTCTGTTAGTGAAAACCACATTAAAATCCGTTGCTTACTATGACCAAATGTTTGTTGCTCCGTAAATATTTGTTTCTTAGTTTGGGTGTGTTTTATGTATAATATGTATGTATTTACAAAAAAAGTATAAAAGTATTCTATCAGTCAATCTAGCTTTCATAGTACAAGCTCTGCTTAATTTGAAACTAGATTGCGTTGTGTGTTAGATGTCCAAATTATTATTTATTTATTTAGTTGAAAGGATCTAAGCCTACAACAAAAAAAGCGACTTTAATGTAAAGATTACACCCAAAACAGGTTTTCGCACTAGTCAAACAATTATTATTCCTAGTTGTGATTAACACACCTCCTCCTGCGGCTCAGCAGGCACGGTGACTCACCCAGCGCGCACGTCCTTCAAGGACAGGAAGGGAACACCACAATGTATTTTTAATCCTTGTAATTCATTTTTTTATTTCAATTTTTGAGCTAGTTTACAATATGAGCCAAATAAGGCACCTACGCCGGGAGTCTTACATAAACTTCTCTTGAAACCTAGCGATGGGCAGGTGGTTGACCATCGAGGCAAATTATTTACTTTTAAGTTTAAATGCATGCATGCTCATGTTGCTGCAAGGACAGTTCAAATTTGATTGGAAGTATTAAACTTGATTTATGTTACAAAAATCAAAGAAACACCAAAAATTTTATGATTTTTTTTTCAAACTTTGAAACCCGATGTACGTAGTATAAATATTACAGAAATATAAAAACAGTCTCCCACCAACATCGTCCCCAAGCACCTCCTCTTCACCCCTCCTCTGAAGTACGAACGAAACACGATCGCCTACACTATGCCCTCTAGATTTTGTAATGGCAGTTTTTTTTCTCTTATCTGTCAAAAACCGCCGTCCACTGTCAGCTATCATTTACTGTGATGATAGTTTGGGACGAACAATGGTCTGTTTTGAAACTTTGCTCTATTTACAACGATCAATAAACTTTATCTTTTGAACTAATAGTATGCTTACATTACTTTGTCTGCGCTAACTATTCCTGTGTACTATTGTTGTCGGTGTGTTGTCATGTAAGGTTGCTATTTCCAGACCTTTAAACGAATGTAAATGTTTACCTGCTCTGGAACATTTTATAGCAAATTCATTTTAACGTTCGCTTCGAGTTTCGTCTATTTCTCGTCGATATTGCTGTTTAATAAACCTTGATTAATATTTTAAGACAAGTTATAAAACAATCTTATCTCTGGCAATGCGAAATAATGTCATTGCAGTACTAATAATACCATTCACTCTGTCGGTACTCGGAGCTTGTAAGTTATTTTTAGCGACTAATCAGTGGCACTGAACTCCAATCTCTCTTGTGTAAAAAATCCGATCTTATTTCCATCGACTCCTTTCTACATCATCAAAGGTGATTTGGCCTACGGTTTATTGAGAGGTGGTACAGCAATCTCAAAAATATGAAATAATTTACTAAATGACATTTGCTTGTTGCAGGTTACACGAGGAGATCGAACACTTCTACCAATACATGTCTCCAACGGAGACGGAACACCTGGTGCGTTCGACGGTAGTAAATCGCATCCGCGGCGCCATCCTCGCGCTGTGGCCGCAAGCGCGAGTCGAGGTGTTCGGCTCCTTCCGCACCGGCCTCTACCTACCCACTAGTGATATTGACCTAGTCGTTATAGGTGAGTCGCACACAGAATTTCACTTTCATTAAACACTAACTATTATGCATAGACATAATTAGCATTTATATTTTTTTAATTTTGGAGCCGGTGCAATGTGTGACATTGCAAAGGGGTATGCTTTGAATTTATACGTTGATCCGTGGGGTGACGGATTAAGAATACGGAGTGTCACCGCCCCTATTCATCCCATGGGTGTCGTGAAGCCGATGAAGGACGAGGACAACCGTCTGGCCAGCGTAGTGTAGTAGGCCAAAACCAAACCTCCTTTGTAATGGGAAAAAAAGAAAAGAAAGTAGCTCGAATAGGCCAGTTGCGTACTTGTGTGATTAGAAAGGTCACTAGGACAGGCACACTGGCCAAAGATACCAAGATATCAATCAGAATACTCGTATAATCTTATGGTATTCAAGGCTGTTTAGGCACTATTGTTACTTTATAGAGACTAAATAGTACATTGGTATCGGAGTGACGAGCGGATACAAGTCGTCGGCGGCTAGACGAAGTCGTAAACTACTGACGTCAAGGACGCGAGCCCACGAGCCGGCGCGGCGTGTTTACTGTGTAAGGACATCATTGTGGGAAAAACAAGGCCCTTGTGTAGAATGTTTTGAACATAATACTAATTTATTGTGTATTTACACTTGTTTTAACGCTTCATTAATTAAGTACAAATTTAAACTGAAACTTACTTAAAAAGTATCACCTACTTTGTGCCCAAATCGTGATAAATAGTAATAAATAATTTTATGTATACGGGAATTTCATATCATGGAACGCGATAGTTAAAAAGTTGGTTTTTTCAATTCTTAATTTTAACCTTTGAAGGTGAGAAATATTCTGCAAGTTTACAACAATTTAATACAACTGAGGATTTCATTTAAAAGATGCAAAATTATTAAAATAAGAATATAAAAAAAAACAGAAAATGAAGTTCAGTTGAATTGCTGCAACGTTATATGACGATACAACTGCAGAATCGTTCACATTCATATTTCAATTATATAATAAACATGTCTTTACAAAAGAAGTATCTTAACTAGAATATTTTTATCTGTGTTCTAGAAACCACAGCTCAGGCTACGTTTAATTTGGGTCTAGATAGCGTTGTGTAATTGTCCAGAACATTCCTTTTGTTATAAAAGTGTTTGCGCTGGTTTTTCAAACATAATGTTAATAAAGGAACTTACTACCTAAACAAGACGTAAAAATGAATGTCCTTTAAGATGAACATAATATGTAGTTAGATGACAATACTCTCATTTGGCATCTTGGAGTTGATCTGACAATAGAGCTGGGAATTGACTGGCATTCAATGCAAGTAGTGGGTACTAGTAAAGTTTGTAACGAGTCCTGATTGGGCTGGCTGACACTGGCGTTATGATCATGTCTGCAGGTGGAAAGTAGAACTCTGTTATACTTTTTCGCAAAACAGTGTTTTTGCCTGCACCGTATTAACCAGATTTTCTTAAAGATAAAGCTTTGGATTTGCATTGTAATCGCAAATTAGTTCACTGGGTTTTACAGTAACTCCGCGCATCGTGTAATTACGTACGAAAAGCCGTATTTTTATACAGATAGTACAAATAATATTCCCTACTGTAATTGCGCAGTAGGTTCATATAATATGTAGACCATCAACAGAGTTCTTTTCTCAGATAAATGAATAATCAGAAATCTTTATAAATATACCAGTCTCGTTTAAAGTTTATTAATTAAAGATTTTGTAAAACGGAGTTCTGATTTCCCCTTTAACAACACTTTTCAAAGCGAGGCTTAAGTTCTCCCACTGTATTCTTAGTAATAATACCAGATAAGGCACAGAACAGTCTCTCGGAAGTATTATCACAGCAGCGTAGTGCTGCACTACCACCTACTGGATTTGTTTTGCCAACGGATCTTTTACTATACCTAGTGTTGAGCAAAATTTTAAGATAGTCAGTTAGCGGATCTTTTACTTATCAATACAACTCCGCATTAGGGATATATCCTGTGTCCCGGGGAATTTTACAAACAAACGTGAAACGGACATAGAACACCCAGATTCAGAACAACAACTTGTGGATCACACAAATTGTCGTCCCATGTGGGGGATAGGACCCAAAACACTCAGCACAGTAGTGAGCGGCGTGGTGACCGCTTAAACCACTACGCCATCCGTGCAGTCATATATTTCATTATTGCCAATAGACGTAATAATTTATAATAATACGTATAGGTTAACAACCGTAAATGTGCGGCATTCCGTTCCGGGACCGACGTGTGAGGGCGTGTCGTGGTACAATTTGTAAATTAGCCATGTAATGCGATCGAGGGTCACTGTCTGCGTCTGCCCGCGCCTCGCTGTCCGTCACGATCAACGTGACACGCTGAACAAGTGCGCCAACTCCCATGTCCTATATGTTTTGTAAACGCTGCTTATAATGATATCCAATAAATCATTTTTTTTAGGATGTAAATGCCAATCTCAGACAACATTCCAATGATATAACCGATCCTTCGCACGACGCGACGTTGCTCTGTTGTTTTCTGCAAGAAAAACAAAGCAAGAAATATATTAATTTCTACCTTGTTTATGGGACTGTGTTAATGACCGATACGATCTATCTGTGCTCCAGAATTCTGTACCTTCGCCCAATTATATAGTAGGTATTGAGAAATATATCTGCAGTTAAGTACGTCTCATCAGAAACTGCAAAATTGGAAAATGGGTAGGCTAGACCGGAGAGACTCAATGGCTTTACAGATAACCGGTTTGAGCTGTTTTTCACCGACGGAGTAAGGTTACTGGACTCCCTATCCTCCTTATTCTTTAAACTTCTGCATGGTGCAAGAGTAGGTACATGGTGCTTCCACTGAAAACAGGTTGTTAGTTTCATCTCACCAGCTTCATCTCAGTCATGTTATCTTGCTACTATTACTCAATCCTCAAATCCAATCAAATAGAGGCTGAACAGATCTGGATAAAATCTAGATTTGATGCTGAGATTAATTATAGTTTTGAATAGCAAGTAGGCTACAAACAGTAGCCTAGTGTCTCGGAAAACTTAATTCCCTACATACACACTTTTATAATAACAGCTGTTTCACCCGAAAATGGGGGCCCATATGTAATACGCTTTTTTTGTTGCTTCTTATTGCCATAGAAGGTACTGCCCCGAATCGAGTGATGTCGTTTTTATAAAATGTACATCTGCCAACGTATTACTCGCCTATCAATAAAAGTATTTAACAAAAAAAAATAACACAACTGAAGTCCGTAACGAACGATCTATACGTAGTATTGGAATGATGTAATAGATGCGGACAGGAGACAGCTGGTATGCTACACCGTGTCGGGGATAAGTTACAGCATCGGCGTATTGATGATAAAACTATACCGCGACTCGAGGCCACTGAACTCGCAAAATAAGGACGATGTTCTTGTGTGGCATACGTATTGTCGCTGAGCGATAGTAAATATAATTAATTTAAGCTTGCAATGTTATGCATTTTTACTTTCGGTTTAACGCTATCCTAACTTCAGACTTCGGCGTTTATCATCAAATATTATTTGTTTACTTTTAAACATTGTTACCTGAATTCCGACGTCCGAAATTATAACTAAACTGTAAGTCTTACAGTTTAATGTTAGCAGTACGTGGAAGAGGAAAGTTTTTGCTAGCGAGCGAAAGCACTTGGCTAAAACACATTTTTTTAATTGAATTCGTATAAAAAATGTGTTTGCGATGTTTATCATTGTATTCGTAAAATTGAAACGAAAATATTAGGATACATCTTACAATACTCGCATTAAATTCTTTGGAAAAAAGTTTTAATTAATTGTCCCTGACTTGATTTATTTGCGAAGTCCTAAAGTAACTTACGGGAACTCATGTTCGATATTGAGCTATCTTACGAGAGCCCAACTTTACAGAATGGGCGCCAATTAATGACCTCAAATGACATGTCCCATCACAAGTGCTGTAACAGTACGGTGTCACTAATACTGGGGTAGAGTCGAACGTCTATTTCTGATCGGCCGGCCTCGGCACGATTGAAACGCGTAAGACGCTGTACCCACGCCTTTATTGTGGTGACTAATGTTCTGTCATTCTGCAGTCCTGTATCTAGAAGTTGCAACTTAACGCTGCCATTTAAAACTCAGCGAAAATAGTGAACATCAGTTCCGAAAACTTAACTTAAACGGAGGTCGCTGGAACTAAGACCGATTGGAACAAGTGGGCTCGGGGGTTTAATTATTAACAGTGGCATGATATTGACAACGGTTGTAGGTACCTACTCTTTCTTTAAATACCTAATTATAATTTCGTAAATCGTTATACCTTCTCGTTAAACAGTCACCAGTGCTTAATATTTTAAGAGTTAACAATTAATGTTAACCTCTATTATTCTATAGGCATTATTAAAAATACAGAGATAAATCATTTGCTGATAAGTTTATCATACGTTATCATTTTATCATTCACCTGATCGTTATTATACTTGTGTCGACTGCAGAATATTAGGTCATGGACCGTGAGAGAACTGGCCCACTTCTAGGTTTTGGTGGCACAGACTCTGCGGGAGTAGACTAGGAACTACCTTACGCCAGCTTTTTGTCCTAAAAACGCAGTGCAGTACGCCTATTACATAAATACTGCGATTTGGGCTTACGGGCGGTGTCCAAATATAATATATTAAAATACTGCCTCGAATAATACCGGCATGTTGTAAGCAAATAAATAATACAAGTAATTTTCCATCGCTAATAGGTATTTACTTATGCACTAAATGTCCATTTGAACAATTTGATTAATAAACAAACTCGATAACTGTTAGAATTTCGTGCGTGTTACTTTCACCTTGCATGACGTCGTCATATAAACCAACCTTGCATTTACCAACTAGGTTAGGTCCATCTGTCGAATGAGCAGCACAATATAAACATAATATTACACAACAATGAGCAACACCCGTACTGGTGCAGTCGGTAACATCAATGAGTGGAGCGGCACGCGGAGTGAGTCAGCCGCCTGATGTGTTTGTGTACGACAATGTCACATTGCAACTCTTCAATACAGCTAAACTGCGAGAACAACATTCGGTGCGTGTTTGTTTACATTATGTACGCACGTACTTTATTTAGTCAAACGTGCAAATACAAAGACTTGGGACCAATCCCTACCACACGCCCACCACTAGCTCCTGTACACCAGGATCAACAACAGTGACCCATAAACACACCCAGTTATGAAAAATTAAACTATGAAGAAAATTGGATGGAGTTGGAAAATAAAGACTTGTGAAAAACATGGATGCATAATAGCCAAGTCGAGGTCAGACACACTATCATGGTTCGACTACTAAGCGGAAATAGAACTTAAGATTCTTAAAATAGGCGTTGAGACGGAAGAGTCAAACTGGCAAAATACTATTTTTGGGAAATGTCAGAGAAGTGTGCAGACGATGGAAAGACAGACCAGTTGGCCTTCATAACATAAACGTCAGTAGGTGACTGTCGGACTCGTGCATACTAACCTTTCCATTCCGAATGAACTAGTTAAAGGTTGACATGTAAATACCAGCTGAGGCGCTCGTCCTCAATGGTCTGTAGTTATTTCCTAAATGCCAGTTTCTAAAGTAATGAACAAGAGTCAGAGAAATAAAAAAGATCATGAAATACAAACAATCTGAAATAATGCTTATCCTGACTTTGTAAATCATAAAATGAAACAGTAAAGGAAAGAAGTAATAAAAATGTTATATCCCTCTGTAAACAAAACTAAAAAAATGACCGTTATGACTAATAAACGCTCGGGTGAACTCAGACTATTTTGCAGATCATTCTGACTTGACATTTAGGTATACCAAACAGTTTGATGACAAAATGAGATAATTGATTGATAATATTTAAGTCAGCAGCGATTAATTTGATTACTCAGGTTATTCATACTATTTATATTTATGGTAAACTATTTTTGCCTGCGGTTGTTCACGCACCTAGAGGTGGTATTTTGTCTTCATATAATGAGACCAAGCGGAAAGGATTAAACACTTTAAGTCTACTAAAAAATGTCTTTAAACGAGGCCTATTCAGATGATCATTATAAGCCTATATGATGACCATAATGGGTAAACACTTTGCTTAAGCTAAAACACATTTGAAATATTACTTGGAATGAAGGCGAGAGCACATTTTACACAAATACCACCAAAACATTTTAAATTCGCCTGCGAGTGTTTACTTCATAATTACATATCAGAGATCGACACACATCCACTGAAGTTATCACAATTGATCAAAATCTATTTATTTTGCGTTAGCGTGTAAATAAAGCACGCAGGTACGTGTAGACATAGGCTCGTGAATGCGTGCATGCAGCGAGTACGCAGATCTCGCATGCCATTACTGTTATTGGCACGAAGCCATACACACACAGATACACACATATAAACAAACAAACAAATATACGTCCATATATGTTGGTTACATACAGTACACAGTGATGGTTCAGTTTAAATTTTGAAATTGTGTGATTGTTTTAATTGTAAGACCATTATGTATACTTAGTTGTCAGTTAAGATTTTAATTTGATTTAATTATCAATAAGGTTCATAGTGTGTAATGTGATGTGTGTGATGTCCATTAGATATCCATAGCACGTATAATTGAATCTTTTACAAATTTAAGATGTCGACCTTATTCGATTAAAGGAAGTATGTGATAAGTACTAGGTATATTCATCGGTTGGAGTCTCGAATTTACCGGCAACAGTCAGTTCGCGATTCAGGTATGCGACTCTGAGTTACTCGAACTATCGCTAACACCCAACTCCGTCCGTATGAGCAACACACATTTCCTACCACTGTCTTCCCGTCTTATCAACTTGTCCTTTCATATTCAACGCCCAACTTTACTAACTATTTCCTAAGGGTCCTCAGGCCCGGGTGACGGCAGTAGACTTGCCCCTATTCCGTAAGTGGGATTAAAACGATATACTTGGACAACTGTGGGCGTTTAATACTGCTGTTTAATACGACTGCACAAATGGCTTAATGGTTTAAGCGGTCACCTCGCCGCTTTGTATGTTCGATCCGTGTTGTGGGTTGTGGGTTCGATCCGCACATAGGACAAAACTTTTTGTGATCCACAAATTGTTTTTCTGAGTCTGGGTATTCTTTGTGTCCGTTTCTTGTATGTTTGTAAAGTCCCCCGCCACACAGAATTAATTCCTCCTTATCCCCGAGTATATAGGCGTAGTGTAATGTAGATATATGTGTATGAATCTAATGTTTGTTATGTTAATTGTTTCAGGACAATGGGAAAAGTTACCTCTGTGGACGTTAGAGCGCGAGCTGGTCGTTCAGGACATCGCGGAGAAGGAGAGCATCAAAGTGCTGGAGAAGGCGACCGTGCCCATCGTCAAGATGACTGACAAATATTCTGACGTTAAGGTACTACTTCACATACCAGCCCGATCTCTATCTGTCCTCTGTCTATTGCGAGTCTTTCAACATTTATCACACATGACTATACAACACTAAAGATAGATAGATAGAAAGTTATAGTTTAAAAAAAAAACTAAAAAGTTTGCTATAAATGCGTGTTTTTTTTTGTTAAGTTAACTTTAAACATCTAAATCATTGCAAGTGTACGTGCTGTAAGGAAACTTAAAATTCAGTAAAATTGTAGGTTTTCTGTCGTCATCATTTTTGAAGCTATGATGAATGCTTTGTAGGTCATGTAAATATGAAGGTTATTGTGTGGTATGTAAAGTTATGTAGTACGTACCAGTAATAAGTAGGTCTTTATAAAGAAATTAACATGTAATGCATGTTCTTCATAAATGTTTTACATTTTCGCAACAGTTCCATATTTTTCAATTTGCAAATAGATGTTTCGAAAGCAATCACACGCATATAATGTATAAAAATGACCAAACGGCAAATCTGGGTCAAGTTGCCGCAAAAAATAGGAGTATATATTTAAGAATAAACGGCGAACATTCCAGAGTAGAACAGGTACCTAGTCGGCGTCTCAATCCACGACCATTCGATTACCTTACCTGAGGCCCAAGTGCGAGTTTATTTCACATCAACTCGCTCTCGGCAGCGAGCGCGTTTGGCGTTGTGATTGGTGCATATTTCAGTGCGGGCCAATCACAGCGCCGAACGCGGTCACCGTGACGATCGAGTAGCAGTGAAATAAACTCGCACTTGGCCCTCTGATGCCTAAACGACTACGTCATAGCCATAAGGTTTTAAAGAAAGAGAGTTTTGGACCACACTGTTACAAGTACGAGGCAGGTATGCGCCAAGACAGGTCTCGCCTCGTTCATTAGCACGCCTACCTCGCTCTGGTATGCTAATGACTGTTGCGTCACTCTACGGTTGGTATACTCTAGTACCCAATGGTATTGAAACATTGGTGTAGTAAAAGACTCAGCAATATACATACTAATTGTACAGCATTATTATTATATGAATGGAATTTATGTCGGTCTAATTCCGGATCTGGTGGTATTTAAAGCTCTTAATAGACGACTGTTATTAGATGATTCTTCCTTGTTTACATAAAATAAATTATGCAGTCGGATGTGCGATATTCATATGGTTTATATTTAAAGTCACCATTAGCGCCTTGATTAACATCGCAGGTTCAATTCCCGTTCACGCAAATTTTTTCAAATGTTTATTAAGAAAACTGTTAGCACCTACGAAGTTTTCTTACTTTGGGTATTTAAACATTATTTACTTATTGTATCACGGGGTGTTTAAAATAATCAAACAAATTGGAGGTTTTGTTTTTAAATTGCCTTGTACTGGCGAATATCGCAGTGATTGATAACATTGGTGCGCCGAGATAAGCGTGCGTCGATGAATGACATAATACGTAAACGACGTGTTCAGTACTACGTGGCGATGTGGGTGTGACATTAAACGTTACCTTGGTGTCGTTCCGTGTATCCATAGATTTTTATTTATATATGTTTACATTGCAAAGTTAAGCAATCCTAGCCAGCTCAGTCTATGGATGGATGACCTTTCTTAATCTAATGAGACCTCGCCGTGCCTCGGAGAGCACGTTAAGCGGTCGGTCGGCCATCGGTTACGGATATCTCCTAGTACTTGGGTTGTGAGGGTCTGATGGCAGTTTTTTCACGTAAACATTGAAGTTTATCCGTGTCGTAGTAGACTGAAAGCCGACCCCAAACTAGTTTGGGTAAAAGTTCGGAAGCTGATGATGATAGTTGTTGATCTAAAAGTTTTACCGCCCCCCGGGACTCTGGGCTCGTAGAATTACTTCGGTTTCGTGATATGCGGTTACCTTGGCTATCTTGCCCAATTCTTACTCATATTTACCTTCTTTGTCCTTGAAAATGATTACAATTCCAAAGTGGGTTTTCATAAGGTTGTAGTGAAGGACTGAAACCGTAACACATCAAAAAAATTAAATGATTACAATCATAATTCGATTGCCATCCAAGACAGATAATATTGTGTGATGAGCTCGTAAACTTCGTGTCTGGGTGTATTTACTTAAATCTATTGTTAACGCAGCTGATCCTGGAGACGTTGTTCCGCTGAAATTTTAATAAAATTGGTTGAAAAATATGGTAAAAAAACCGCGTATGCGTAATTTACATTTCTGCGTGTTTAAATGTATTTTTCATGCTGTGACTAAATTCGTTGAGTGCAGTCTGTTCGCTTCAAAGTGAAAGCAATTGTAATCCTGTGAATGATGGACATTTATCTATTTTATACAAATAAATAAAATTGGAGTGTCTGTTTGTAATATTAAAATAACCGCTTTTTACTAAATGCATATGTATGTTTACACGGTACATATGCCAAAATAACATTTTTTACAATTTTTGTCTGTCTGTATGTCTGTTTGTTCCGGGTAATCTCTGGGACGGCTGGACCGATTTCGACGGGACTTTCACTGGCAGATAGCTGATGACATAAGGAGTAACTTAGGCTACTTTTTTTTAGACTAGCTTCGCCCCGCGGCGTCGCCCGCTGTTATAACAACAAACGCGGGTAACACCGCGGGTCTCAGCTAGTTGAACATATAAATATATGTTTATTTGTCATAACATTAATGTATTACGTGTTACGCGCAGGTGGATATATCGTTCAACATGAGCAGCGGCGTCAAGAGTGCCGAACTCATTAAACAGTTTAAGGTGAGTGCCAGCTTAGTAGCTACTAACTTGAAGTGTACTGTCGGTACCACACATTGAATTGTAATCCTCACCGCTAAGTTCAAGTTGTTCACGTCGTACATGCGGGTGTTTGGTGCTAAAGCTGGCCAAAATTAAAGTATGCCATTAAACTGGCAGGTCTAAGTAGTTCCTCTTTAGTAAATAATAAGATTGTATTTTCTATAGAAATTAGTATGAAATAGTGTGTTGTGACGTCATACACAACTGTTACTAAATCATTGCCTTTATTATTTGCTTTAACAATTAGAAATACATAATATGAAATGTGTGGAATGTAATGTAATATAACAAATATTTTTATTTAAAATGACGTGTAAGTTTACCTATGATTAAGTAACGTTCAAATTTGCACACAATTCAATTAATTACATAATTTACATAATTAGATAATTTACATAAGAGCGTAAATGTAAAATTATGTGTTGTATTTGATCACTTCCAAGATCCGATAGTAGATAGTAGATTTTTGAAGATAGATTCCTGAAGTTCTCCCTATCATTTATTTCATTGTCATTTCAACTTCTATAAGAAATCATACAATATGTTTGTAGTAAAATTGAGTTTATAATTGTAATTTTCAATTTCAGGAAAAGTACCCAGTGCTGACTCGATTGGTGATGGTGCTGAAGCAGTTCCTACTCCAACGTGACCTGAACGAAGTGTTCACGGGGGGCATTTCTTCCTACTCTTTGATCCTCATGTGCATCAGCTTCTTGCAGCTGCACCCTCGGCCCGAGCGGTTACGGCAACCTCACAACCTCGGCGTCTTGCTCATAGAGTTCTTCGAGTTGTACGGTAGAAAGTTTAACTACGTGAAGACAGCGATACGGGTCAAAAATGGCGGTTCATACGTCTCCAAGGATGAGATCCAGAAGGTGCGTGGAATAATTGGTACATAGTTGAAACAATATTTACTGAGAAAGACTATTTAACATCACGTTACGACCTTTAGGAACACAGTAGTGACCAAAAAACCCAAAGACTGCAGGAAAGTTATTAAAAAAAATTTTTTTCTTTCTTTTTTTAAAGACAACTCCCGCACTAGGAATATAGCAGTAGGAAGCGGCGAGGTGACCTCATAAACCACTACGCCATCTGTGCAGTCAAAATTAAGACTTAAATTGAGATTAAAATTCTTGATACATAACCTTTTGGACCGAGAGGGGGCCGCAAAATTTCCAGGGTATCTGTTATATTGATGAAAATCACCAGGAATGATGGTATTCGCATTAGTAAAGAAAAAACGCCATGATTGCCTGGATTCCGTATGATCCCAGGAGTGGGGGCAGTAATTTTTTATTGCAAAATTGACATACTTGGTCCATATGTTAAAGTATCAAAACTAGGTCAAATTGTAGAGTTTAAATTCTTGTTATTCAAGAAAAAAAAAATGATTGCTTGGATAGAAATGTCCCAAGTTGAGGCAAACACGAATTATATGGAGTTATATGGTTATGTGGTTTGAATTTTGCGATAAAAACTCGTGATCGTGCCTCAACTTGGGTCATTTGGAATCCAGGCAATCATAGCGCTTATTCTTTACTGACGTGAATACCATCATTCCTGATGGTTTTCATCAATATAACAGATACCCTGGAAATTTTGTGGCCCCCTCTTGGTCTGTTTGGGAAACAACCACAGGTACTCCAGCAACATGCAGTTTTGTCATGTCGCAGTGTCATGCCAAGTCTTGTGAGTTGATGTAGTGTGTGAAAATTTAACCTTTTGATTTTTTTTATAAACTTCCGTATGTATGTACAATGACTAAATTTAAATTCTTTCAACAAATCAAAACAACTAATATAGACAATAGACATATATTTTTTTAGACTTCGTTACAAAGTCACGTGGTTAGGTCCTTTACCGTAGCGTTGCGACTCTTCAAATTCACTTTGTATACGAATAATCGTTTAAATGTATGAATAATCGAACTTATTAATAACATGTCATTTTTATCCCAAAACACTATATATCTTCACAAAAAGATACCAGATTCAGATACAAGAAAATGACCAAGATAAATCAGGCATTAACGAAGTTCGAATTTACACGGACGGCTCCAAGACTAGGTCAGGAACTGAACTGATATGAATATATCACTAGCGTTACGCCAACACAGTACCATATTGTGTGGCAATAACTTCCGCCGTCACAACGGCCATGTCAAGGGGCATTAAGGACTATAACATTCGAATACTGTCAGACAGCATGGCCGTCCTAAAGGCACTAGAGGGCAACACAATGACCTCTGGTATTGTATTCGAATGCCATCAAGCATTGGAACAGCTTGCCAAATTAAATGGGGTACTACTCCAATGGATTAAAGGGCACAGTAATTCACACGGGTACGACGCCGCAGATGAGTTGGCAAAGAGGGGCTCGGCAACCGAGGCTACCGGCCCAACCATATTGCTGCTAGTACCTTTCAACCAACACTGATTCTGGACTAGGCAACGGACTCGCGAAGCACACAACCGGAGGTGGAGAAACTCACCCTGCTGCAGACAGTCTAAACTGGTGCTCACTGAAGTCACACCACGACTCACCTCCAGATTGATTAGTATTAGCAGACTAGAAATCCGAATAGTTGTAGGAACTATAACAGGACACCTAGCCCTGAACCAACAACTATTAACCATGATAAATGCGACGGGCAGTCCTCTTTGCAGAGGATGTCTGAAAGCAGAAGAAACGGCTGCCCACGTAATCCTGAAATGCGAGGGAGTGGTCACACAACGGGCAAGTATCGATGATGATACAAAATTACTCCTAAAAGCCTTCGAACGTCCCAGGCGGCTTCTGCGTTTCTGGAAGGAGCTTGGTTGGCTCATCTAGCCAACCTGTCCTCGACGCATAAAGGACCATCTTGAGTCTAAATGCGGAAACCGGAGCCCACAACCAATACCTGCCATTTTTTATCCAGATGTTTTGTAGTCATTACAATACGCGCCATACAAGCCTTACTACTAAAGTAGCAAACAAGTAATATACACATTTTTGGTACCCACGCTTTTGGTAACAACCACGGATTAATAAGGAATAGGTGTATTATCAATGAATAGATACTTCTAGAATTATATTCAATATTTAGTCTATTTAAGATGGCAAATAATTAAAAATGCCCAGTACATTGGAGTTTTACTCGTAATAGCAGCAAATAAAATATGTAGGAACGAATTATGACCATGACCTGCATGACCTGCCTGATATGGCAAACGCTTCAAATGACACCTAAACTAGAATGAACTTATTCATTTCTATTAATATAAAGTTTTGTGCCCTTTTTCGCTTTCTGGCAGAAATTCTACAGTCGTGTTGAAATTGTCTCCACGTAGTTTTCCTTAACATGTCAACACATATAGAGAACAAAAAACAGTTGCAAGCAATTACCGCCCTTAAAGATATTTCTCTAAATTCTATCTCTATCTAAATATTTTTTTTTCATTTATGTGATGTGTATTAAAAAAAGTAGGAAAGTGCAAGCAAATTTCAACCTAATTAACCTCCTCAAAATATTATTTCTTCTTTCTATTTGTGATTTATACATGTCAAAAACACGTTGTAAAAGAAATGTCATTAAGGGCGAAATTACTCTCAACTGTTTCTTGTTTTACTCGTAAGTATGTGTTGACTACCATAAAATTAGGTGCAAGGTGTATTTTCTACACATTACAATTCTATTTGTTTACCTGGTGCACGCCTTTAATACTTCCCAGTCGCATAATCAAGGTCATATTTCAGCTAATTTATAAAAACAATCCAAAGAAGATAACGCAGACGCATGTCGATTATTAGGAGTGTATTTTCATTTCAGAAGTGCAAAGATAAGTTAAAACGAATAAAAATCTTCGAGTCGAATAAATGTATGAAATGATGCGATCAGTGTTATGTGTAGGTGTATAACAGAAATCCATCCGTTTCCAGGAGATGAACGACGGTCATAGACCATCGCTGCTGTGCATCGAGGACCCGCTGACTCCTGGCAACGACATTGGCCGCTCCAGCTACGGCGCCATACAAGTCAAACAGGTACAGACAGAACTCTCGATACCACTTTACGGGCATACTGTCTCTGCCCAAGGTTTTAGGGTTTTCCCATAATACGGTAGCTGACTGTGTGTCTAATCAATTTCTCTTTGGCGTCAAAACGAAATAACAACTTGTGACGTCACATTTCGCTATTGTAAATTGATCAAATCTAATCGATTTGAAGAGTATTAATGCATTGAAAATCACTAAACTTTAACTCTTTTCAAGTCGCACTCGAACGTGACTTCCTTCTGTATATTGTCAGGAGTTTGAAGCAATTGCTGGATTTTTTATTTGTCTGATCTCTTGAATTAAGCTTACAATGCAAGCGTGGGTGCTCGCAGTTTACTTTTAGTTATTTTTTTATATAATCAATAATGATTAACAATTTTTACAATATTAACGAATCCCATCAATTTCTAATCCCAAATTCAATCCTAATATGGGAATACTGCGAGCTCTTTAGTCTTACTTGTTTGTCAAGTCTCAACTGCTTCTTTTTTATGTTCTGTCGAAGCGGTGTGTTCTTCAGAACAGTAACTGTTAACGACATCCTCTGCCATCGATAAGCTGTATGCTCTCCATGATTGATTAAAAATAAAAACTAAGTTCTAAATAGTAGTCTTATAAAATACAAATAATATATTAAACTGTTGCTAAAGACCACCGTGAGATTATTTGTAATCGTATTGTAGTTTTTGAGTAAGTATGATGTCGTGATGTGCGGTGTGGTCGTCGCAGGCGTTCGACTACGGCTACATCATCCTGCAGCAGGGCGTGGGCGCGGGCAGCGCGTGGCTGGCGCGGCACAGCGCGCTGGGCCGCATCGTGCGCGTGACGGACCACGTGCTGCAGTACCGGCGCTGGGTGCGTGACACCTTCGAGTCCTACTTCTTCCCGCTGCGCCCCACCGCCGCGCTGTCCAGCCCCGAGCCCGAGCCCGACAACGCGTCGCCCGACCTCTCCGACAGCGACCAAGTACGCGACCTCTATCTCCGCCTCCGTAGAGCGTACAACGTAGAACGCTCGTCTCTGGCCGGGAGACCGAAGCGCACTCGTGCTTATCGCTCTATAATTTATCGCATCTAGGTCTGGCTCGGCAGTCGAAAACAACTTTTTTGTTTATTTAAATTGGGTTAGATTTTACAACAGGTAAATGCAACCTTTAAAAAAAACAAATAAATTAAAAATATCGAAAATATTGATAAATGCGTAAACATATACCCTCTTCCAAACAGTCATGTTTCACTACAGTAAACAAGTAATTTCTATTCTAATAATATAAATAAGAAATGCCAATGCAATTTTAAAAATAAATTAAATACAATAATAAATAACTTTAATTATTGCTTTCATTTGATAGAAGTTCTGACCGAACATTTGATAGACGTGTGGATCATAACTTCACCGACTAGCCGAGTAGTCGGTTGTAAAAAGTCCGACTAGTCGACTAAGCCGAATACGGTTGTCGGGAATATTCGACATTTGACGTTACGTTTCGTTTACCGTTGATTTGCAAGTCGTAACCGCCGTCTGCTAGTGCATCGCCACATGTTTTGTTTATTTCGCACTTTATCTTGATTTTTATTTTAGTATTGTATAGTCTGTTTTTTAATCTCGTAGACTAAACTGACATTACGAGTGTTGTCAATTCTTAAATAGTGATGTGGCACAACCGAAACTTAGCGTTAATAAAATCAAGTATCGTTTTTTTACAATAAGTTATCCTGAAATAATGTGTTTATCCTGAAATAATGTGTAGGTACTTATTTAAAACGTAATAATACAACATTAATAATGTAAAACATATATTTTTAATTACATAACTTAATTACAGGTATTCGCGTTAATCTGAGTCAGATAATGACTCCATGTCTGAGGAATATTCTGAATCATCAGAATCGCCACCTACTTCTATGATAAACCTATCAGTAATGTCGTCGGTTATATGGCCCAGATGACACATTTGATCTTCAATTTTAATTACATGGACTACACAGTCTTTCCACCGCTGCGGGGTCACTTGACGAAGCCCTTCTTCAAAAAGGCTTCGTACTTCATTCATTTTGAATGTTTAATTATTTTTAGCGACATGCCCCTTTACTTGAGCCCAGAGCAACTCAATCGGGTTTAGCTCGCAGTGGTAAGGGGGCAGTCGCAAAATAGTGACACCCCATTCAGCAGCACCTTTCATGGGCTTTTTTGTGCTTTCGGGCAATTTCATTTAATTCGGGCTTTAACATTGTCTCGTCATATGAAATATTTTTTGATTTTAGCCAATCTTGGATTTGCCCTTTTCGCCAACTAGAAGTAGGTAACGATTCCAGTTTCCTGGTGTGATATGGAGCATTATCTATTACAAGTACTGCGTTTCCTTTTAATTTCGGCAAAATATTTTTTAACCAGTTTTCGTATATATCAGAAGTCATCTCCTTGTGGTAATCATCTAGCCCCTTTTTCGCTTCGAATATTAATAGACCATCATCCACGAAACCTTCTTCGCTTCCAACATGGGACACTAAAAGTCGTCTCCCCTTGCCTGAAGGCCTTTTTAACCCAGTGGTTAACCCTTTTAAGAAAGCCTGACGTGATGATTTCACACTGGTGTCCACCCAGTGCTTATTCTCAGTATGACCTAAAATGAATTAGTATGTGTGTGAACAAAATAATAAAAAAACATAAATACCTACTAATATAATAAAAACGACAGTCTCGAGAAACAAGTAAAATTAAATGCTTATGTTAGTACCAACCTTCATTAATCCACGTTTTATCTTGATAATATATAGAACGACTTTCCCTACGATACTGTTTTATTTTTTGCAAATAACGATGTCGCCATAAAGTTATGTCATCTCGGTCAATTAATACACTGCGGCGTTTTCTTGTCATGAACTTAAATCGAAGGTGTTTTAAAATTTTATGTAACGTACTTCTTGAAAATGACTGAAGTTCTGGGTCATCATTTACGACTTGAAGAACCTAAAAATTAAATAATTGTGTAGGTAAGTACGAACTTAAAAACTACAGTTTGCAAGCATCATTACAATACCTGCCAAAATTAAAAATATTAAATAAACAGAATTAACATTACCTTGTTCAAGGATGGTGATTCGTTTCTATAAAAGAATTGGTGGACTTTTCGACGTATAGCCGAAAGAGTGAAATCGTCCAATTTGTTTTTGAAATATTCTTTCTTTCTTTCTTTATTAAAGACAACTCCCGCATTAGGAATAAATCCTGTGTCGCGGGGGACTTTACAAACATACATGAAACGGACACAAAGAACACCCAGACTCAGAACAACAATTTGTGGATCACACAAAGTGTCGTCCCATGTGGGGTTTGAACCCACAACACTCGGCGTAGTAGGAAGCGGCGTGGTGACCGCTTAAACCACTACGCCATCCGTGCAGTCAAATCAAAATCAAATCAAAAATCTATTTTAGGGCCAGGTATTTTCGGAGAGTTAAAATTTTCATTTTCTTTGTGCTCCTTCAGCACGTTGTATATTGAAGCTCTGGATATGTTTAATATTTCGGCAGTTTTTAAAACACATTCGTTTTTTTTTCGGTGTCTCGGTTGGAGATTCGGTTTTCTTTTCAGAATATACATATTTGTAAGCGTTCATGATCATTTCTTTTTCGGTTTGGCTAATGATTTGAGCTTTCGTTTTTTTCTTGGTGATAGTTTCTTCATTACGTCTACGCGACGAAGTTGAAGGCTGAGCGTCCATCATAAATGATTCAGCGAAAACAAACGTAACGTAACAAACGTTTGGTAACGTAACAAAACCACAAAACTTAACAAAACCACAAAACTTAACAAAAAACAAACAAACTCAACGAAAATATAACAAATAGCACTTGAAATTGTATCAAGACACAACGGACGCATTCGAACACTTCAGAGGTTGAAGGACGAACAAGGCAAACAAAATGGCGTCCAGTGTTGTTCCTTTGAAATTTAGGGTTGCCGTATTCAAAATCTAACATTTTTAAAACTACCATATTATCATAATTATTTTAAAAATTGCAGTTCTTCGTATGGTGTCAAGTTCCATAATTGCCGTATTTTTTAAGTTCTGCCGTTTCGTAAGAGAAAAGGGTTAAGATTGCCGTTTTAACGCGTACGGGAACAACACTGATGGCGTCTATAATTTTTTTTTTGTTTTATTTAAAGGCATCGAAACATGGTCGGATTACGCATGGCGTTGCGTGGTCAGATTTCACTGGCAGTTTGTAGCACGTCGTGCAGCCGTACACACGTACACACGGCTGCACGACGTGCTACAAACTGCCGTGAATTTTAAATATAAAACTTTGAATGAAAATTAAATTCGTCTATTATAAATAAAAAGTTACGATTCAACAAACCGGTATCGTAGGTACAACACTGCACAAAAGAGCTGGCAACATTATTTGTAAATTTGACATTTGCATGTGTCAATTTAGTCTACGAGATTAAAAAACAGACTATAGTGTATTGGGTATAGTACTGTTCATGTTTATTAAAATAAAAGAGCTTAATTAAGATTTAATGTTGTACATAAGTAGAAAGTGTATGGATTTTTTGATCATTGAGAGAAAAACGCCGAATAATCGATGACCAGTTTGAATTTCTATACATTTTTCTAATAAAAAGGGTTTTGGTTTTAAAGGTATTTGCATTTGCATTATTAGTTCTTATATGATTGGGCAACCTGTTGAATATTCGGTATATATAATTCAATGAAGTGCTCTTCATTACACCAGGGTCTTAATTCTGCTATTTTAATATTGTATCAATAGACTTGATGGAATGTCGTCGCAATAGTTTTGCACTTTTCGTCACTGAATTGCCACTGATACAAATGTTGAAGATGTCTTTGTAATAGTTTGGTAAACAAAAATTTGTAAGGAAGTGGTAATATTTAATTTTCCAGATATGGCAATGTCGTCGATATCACATTTGATGAGTCATTATTATTACATTCACTGTCTATATACACTGACTTTATGTTAGTAGAATACCGATAATTTAACTGATAACAATGTCAGCTTAATGGTATCTCAATAGCGTGTTAATGAAACGACAGTAGCTTGTACGTTAACATAAAGTAGCAGAATGAGGCCTTGGATCGTCAAGTAATAGTGTCCAAGAAGGTTGCGTGGTGTGGCAGCGATTTTTTACCACAATATGTTCGATACTTAAATAAACTGTGCAAGCGAGCCTTGAACACACGTTCAATCAATTAAAAAATCCATAGACATAAGCGAGTGTATGATCGAATGTAATTAATAACATATACGTGAATGCAATGAAAGAGTTCGGCAGAGTGTGACGATGCCCTGTCCCCCCCCAGGAGTGGTCTGACGGCGGGTCGGGCCCGCCGCTGTCGGCGCTGCAGTGCTCGTCGCCCACGCCGCGCCGCGTGTCCGCGCACCAGAGCCTCATCATCCACCACATCACCAGCAACTCCGACTTCCACAACCTACAGTCAGGTGCGCCCCCAGCCCCCCAACCGCCACCACCGCCCCCACCGCCCCGACCGACACCCAGTACGTAAACACCTTTACTTTTATTTTATTACTTTATTTACTTCTTCTCTTTTGTTTCTTTCGCTTTCGTTCGATGCACCCTTTGTTTTTATTTTAAGACGATCTGAGCACTTTCTCTGCTGTAGTTTAATACGGCAACGATGTGTGAGGTACGGCGGTACTATGAGTACTTACAGACGGATATAAAACTAGATACTACGAGTACCACTACTCGTGCGCGATAAATTGGGACGTAAACGCAGTGACGTCACAGACATGCGTTTGTACAGACAGCAGCAGAGTGTAACAACAATTAGTAATAAAATTCAATGTATTTAATATAATGTCTCTTAAGATACAGGTAATTCACCTAGTTTAAGGGGCATCTCAAATATAAAATCCGACACTGTATCTTTGCGTAAATGAAAGATTAATATTATTACTTGTGTACTTCGACCGTGTGATGACGGATTAAGAATACAGAGTGTCACCACCCCTATTCATCCCGTGGGTGTCGTAAGAGGCGACTAAGGGAGAAAACTACGCAGGACAACAACACTGCAGAGAGAAGGAAAACTTGACACAAACCCTATACCAACCCGTCTGGCCAGCGTGGTATAGTAGGCCAAAACCTCCTTTCTAAGGAGAGGCATATGTCCAGCAGCGGACTGTTAGAGGCTGTTGATGATGATGATGATTATTACTTTATCTGTATTATACTATTTCCGACAAGATTAACAAAAACTCTAATAACAAAACAATAACAAGATTAACAACAAAATGTAACTGATAACAATAGGAATGCGTCGTCGTTACGTGATGTAGGCCAGTACTAGACTAATATGTTAGTAAACAAATGGAGTGGCCTACAATACACCGGGGGCGCTCGAGGGGAGTGACAGGGGTAGCGGGCGGGAAATTGATTTCCACGTAGCTCTCAACTTATCGCGCACGGATAGTATATTTTTCCATGTTTATTTCCTAATTTTGCAAAACTTGTTAAAATATAAATAATGATTAACTTTGGGACTCACAACAAATTTAAACTTAACTAAGTAAAGATGTGATTTAACCGAATACTAAATATTTAGTAAGAGGTTACAGGCTGAATCACCAATTGTTCGGTGTAAAATATGAACCAGTGTTGAATATTTATGACATTTTTTAGGGTTAGAGTTTGACTGTTTAATCATTAAAAGATTTGGATCGGTACGAGTAACTTTTGTAAATTAAAAACAAAAACAATTTAAGGATATCTTCATTAATTTAAGGAACTGTATATCTCACTGGTTTGACGTTATCGTTAAATTTAGAAGCAGGCGTTTTAATATTAAAAAGTGCTCAGAGCTCATTTTAATATTTGAGTTATTTTTCATTAATTTAATTAATATTCGTGTCTCGACCCCACGGTCCGAGTGTAACGCCCCCCGCCGGCCGCACTACAGAGCTCTCGTTCCCCAGGAGTGGTGAGGTACGGCGGCGGCGACGGCAACCCCAAGGCGCGCAACCAGCGCTCCTTCTCGTCCAAGCAGATGCGCCGCTACAGCTCGCCGCCGCCGCACGCGCGCTACCGCGCCCCCAACAACAACAACCACCACAACCACCACAACAACAACAACAACAGCGGCGGCGGCGGCGGCGAGCGCCAGCACAAGAAGAGGCGGCCCTACGCGCCCGCGCCGCAGCGATGATGAGCGGCGCTCCACCGACCGACCTCACATTCGACTAATTCCACTAGAACATACGTTAGCCGTTACGTTTGAAAACCTATTTAAAGAACCGACGACCTGATCGCTTCCGCGCGAGCCGAGAAATTGCAACCGTCGGCATTTTCTTACGATATTTTAAATGATATTGATTTTTAACCTAACTTGTGCGCGTACAGAGTTAGGTTAAAAATCACATACAACAAACAAAATTAAATTCCATATCCAAAATGACTTACACGCTTAAACTCAATAATTTACGAACGCCGAAAATAAATATTTTGATAAGAACGCCAGATCTGTTGCATCTCTCGTCGGCGGCCGAAGCGAGCGAAAGGGAATATTAAAGATTGCCAAATAACTTAAATTAAATTTATAATTAATCGTAATCCTCATCGCCTACAATGGCTCGTGAGATGGTTCTCGTCGTTAAAATGGTTGTTATTTACATTACTATTAATTCGATAACCGTATCGAACGGTGAACAAGTCGACCGGTAGAACGAGCCGCCGGGTATGAGACGGCTCGTTTGTAAATATTGTACATAGTATAAAATAAATAACGTGTAGTCAGGTTTTGAACTTTGACGATTGCCTTAATCGAACACCACTCGCGCCATCTAGCGGTAGATCTCTTTGTTTCGTCGCGTACTCTTTATTTATTTGTACATTTTAACTTTAGGTGTAACGAGGTTTGATGTTAGGTAATTGATTACTGTACGGTGACTCGCTTCCGGCTCGTGTACCGACCGCGCACCAAAATAGGTATATAGAGTCGGGGCATTTTGTATATAATTATTTATTAAAAATTTAATAAAAAAATGAAAAAAATTGTGTTGAAGGCCTCTCTAGGCTCGATAAGTGAAGTGACTGTGGTATATGCCGTAGTGTGTATCCTGAAATAATATAAAACTGTCTTGGATAACACACCGGGGAGGTCGCGGCCGCGGCTCCGCCACAGACCGTAGAAGAACATAGATATAACACTATCTCTTAGTCGCTCCACCCCCAGAAGACAGTAGTGTAGCGTAGACAGGAGTGTTTGTAAACCGCACACACTTGGCGCTGCCACACCGTGACCAAATGCCAACACAAATGACAAGAAACTGTATTGCGTTTGCTTCCACAATCCGTGCCTTACGTTCAGTCCACTGACGATGCGGGACATTGTTTCAATCTTGTACGAATCCACGTGTTTCCATTGCACAATGACACTGACGGAATTGACAACATCGACAACATTTACTATATATGAGATATTTAATTGGTGTATTGTGTAGTTTTGAAGTGACCGTCTAAACTGACCGTCTTGTGACAAAAAAGAAACGGCAGTACGATTCCTTCTCTAATTATTATTTATAATTACATATATTACTGTGGTCCTAAACAATAGTGATGCATCGAGCGAGCCCCGCCCCCTGACCAATCAGATTTCGAGCTTTCGTACGAAACGTAAAATTTCTTGGTACTTGAGTTCAGGGGGCGGGGCTTGATCGATGCGTAACTATTTTCTTAACGCGAATGGGCTATTGTATAGATAAATATTTGTGTTGCTTGACAACATTATTTGTGTTTGTGTATCGTACTGTACAAACACATACATGCCTTTGTCACACTTACACATCTCTTACACCATCAGTGTATTTACTTGCAATTACTGTAGCCGAGGGCTTCTGCGTTTAACTTTTGATCATATTGAGTTTTGTCTTATTCGAGATAGTTCAATATAGAATCACGCCTCTCACACCTCCCACGCCTCCAAAGAACAAATGGTGTCCTCCAACAGTCAAACAATGTATTACTGGCCCCGCCCACTAGTGAATCGTTTAAGTAATTTCTATATTGTAATTATTAAGAGAGTCTTTTTAGTAGTGTACCATTTCTAGTGTTAGTTTGGGGTTTTTACAAATTTGAATGACAACTTAAAAGAAAAGTTTTAGTATATTATGTATATTTCGTGTATTCTTGTGTTCAAATTCATTAAACATTGTTGCGGAGGGTCGCTTTAACCCTTGAGAATCGAGACCGGCCCCAAAAATAGTTGGACGTCCTTGTAACACAGATACAGAGCGAACACAGTCGTAAATCTATCATAAAATCTATAGTTTAGTGAATTTGAGCGCGGGCACAACATATGGGCGTAACGTAACGTAACGTATTCTATGGAATTGTATTAAAACACTTATGAGAAAACTCTCACACGCAAATAAAGAGATGATGCTTTTAATTGCTATTAACAAGTGATATTGTCAGTCGATAGTAAAACATTATCCGAAATGTTACCGACGTATCGCAGTGAGCTGAGCTGAGCTGTCCAAATTGTGATATATATGTGTGTGTGTGTAGGTAATAGACAGCGATAGAGATAGTTATAATGTAACATGTATTTGTAATGTAACCGATATACTGCCTCCGTTTGATTGTATTGTGAACGCGTATTGTTGCCGTGGACTTGTTAGCGGTACAGCGATGGGACGTTGGCATGTTCGAGTCGAGTGTTACGTAAGCAGCTTCACACATTTTATTCTCTTGGTTAAAAATAACTCATCAAAAAGCATACAGTGCGCTTAATTTAGTGTAAATGTGATTTATTCCTTTTTTAATATTCCGTCGATTTATTTAAAAAAACAGTCGTTACGCTGCTTGTGTAGTATTTGAAGGACACAACATGTTTTATATTACACAGTATAAGGTATTTATACAAAACAAATTATAAAAAATCGTGTTTCTGAAGAAAAATAATATTTTAGTGGAGTAGGATGTGCAGCTGCGTGTTGAATGGCTCTCATTGTAGATAGAGGTTGTAATGTTTATTGTTACTATAAATGCGAATAGTAAACAGTGCAACATAATATATAGTACATTGTATGATTATCAGTTGTCAGCTTGTAATAATATCTAAACTGACTGCGTATTTGGTTTTGCTACTGTGTGATGTATGTTTAACAAATGTTGCTCGATGAGGCCTTGCGTCTGTGAGGGTCAACCCATCAGTAACCGGTACATGCACCTGAAGGCCAAGCGTGAGTTTGTTTCACATCGACTTGCTCCTGACGACGAGCGCGTTTGCCGTTGTGATTGGTGGAGATTGAAGTGCGGGCCGAACGCCGTCACCGTGACGAGCGAGTTGATGTGAAACAAACTCACACTTCGGCCTCTCGGCGGCTCTCAGTCGGTTCGCAATTCAGATAATATCATCAGTTATGAATAATATCAGTTATGTTAATAGAAGACTTGACCGTCGACAGTGCGTTGCAACTTAAATGATGGAGAATTATACTTTTGTCTTAGTATGTTCACAACTGGGTCTTTAAAATGATGTAGTTCATAATTATAGCTGTCATTAGCTTTTTGTGACTTGAAAGTAATTTTGTGATTCCTCGGGAATATATTTTTTATCAGGGTGAATGTACCTGCACCCTTAAGAAAGTGTATGCGATATTTAATCAAAATCGGTTGAATAGTTTAGGCGTGAAAGCGTAACGAACGAATTCACATTCGCATTTAAAATACTATTTTGGATGTGATTTGGACTAAGTGACGGTAATTAGCGAAATGAAATAGACACGCAATATGTTATATATTGAACGGGAGAGGCCTATGTCCAGCAGTGGACTGCGATAGGTTGATGATGATGACGGTAATTAGCGAATATATTACATAATAATAACTGGTCGGTGGTCGTGAAACACCTAACGCTGTGCTCTCGAGGCCCAGCTGTGTAATAAATAGGATAGACCGACATATAAACTTAGTTTCAAATTGCGGGGGAAATTACCTTAAAGATGCGTACATGTCTTACAAGTTTTGTAGCTACAATGAGTATGTAGCTATATACGTTTTATATCTGATGTAGACGCTAATCCAAACCAACTAGAAAAGGAAAATTTTAAGGACATACTAACGTGAAAGGTATTTTTTTTATGCAATAGGGGGCAAACGAGGAGACGGGTCACCTGATAGAAAGCGACTAAAATTTGATAGGTGTAATTATCAAGAGTTAAGTTCTTGAGTGAATGTTGTCGGCTGAGATATAAACCGCTGGTAGTTATTGTCGTGAAACATACATACTCAGTTCTCCCAACGTCGCCCGACAATCACAGCCCTGCGTCCGTTTGCTTGTATTGAAACCAAAAGGTCTAATTTCTTCAATAACCTTTTAAGTTTGACAGTAGACAATTATTGTGACAGACATTTCTATTTGGTGAGTTTAGTGATGTGCCGGGTCGTTAATAGTGTGGTATACGCGTACACGTATTACTATCGATCCGCGGCAACGATCTCAATTTTAAAGTGAAACTTTTATAACATGCCTCGAATTTTTTCATCCATCTCTCGCATGTCGCATTACAGCCAATGCCAATATGGCGGCGCTCGCATCAGCTGACCGTGTACATGTGCTCAGTTTCTTAACGTGCGTCTACCATCTGAATGATTGTATTTATTATATATTCCGTACTCTAATACGTAGATTGAAATTAAAATTTATAGTTGGATATCTTGCCTACTATTGATTTCCCATTATCATTCCAATTTTCCAATTATTAAGTTAAGATTAAAAACTCGATTTTAATACCCTAAATAAAATAATTTTCAGAAAATTTTCTGTTAAATGCCTACGATCCGAAAAAAGTTTAACTTGCATAGTGGTTTCATAAAACCACATCACACTTTCTTTCTTAGATTATGTCTATTAGCGTTATCTTGAAACAATAGTTGATATTCAAGTCATAAATAATTTGGTATCTGTCGGCTTATATTGCGCGTGATTCTTCGAATAATTACTTTAATCACATATCACAAAGGTGTAAAAAGGAAGTTCTGATAACTGTTCATAGTGTTAGTACGTCACACCTCATTTTAACAAAATATATCTAAAATTTCAACCTAAAAAGATCTGTTGAATCTTTCCGTTAGGTTCGTTCTTATTCGTTGAATTGAGATCTTACCTCTCGGGTATTTGCCGATGTAGATACAGATATCCTG